ATTTACAAAAGAGGGAAAGAAGCCTTCCACTAAGATCCCAATTCCCAAAATTGAACTACCGTACACTTATTTGATGACCTGGTTAGTTCTTCATCGACCAGACCTGATGTCAGCTCCCGAAGACGTTAATCCAGATCTCCCCTTACAGCAAATTTTAGAGGAATCTAGGTGGGTAGTAAAACAATAGTACGAGGTGTCCCAGCAATTCAAAGTTCATAAATGTTGGGAATTTTTTTCGTGTTTCCTACAATTTTCCGGGACCTATAATGACACTCTACTGGATATGGAAGAGCCGAGGCAGGACCAGACCGTATTGGATGTCGGATGTTTCAGATGGCTAATGAACATCCGTCCCGGCTATCTAGTTTTTAGAGTGAAGGATGTTTGCAGCATTGAGCCGTACTTACCATGCCGATATGCTCGCCAGTTCGGCTATGACCAGCTCTATGTAGTATTGGACCCTAGAGGGGGGGGGTGATTAGGGTCAAAAGGCTCTAATATGCAGTTTGAAACACACAACAAGCAATTCACAGTAAATAGATGCAAACAAGGTAAATAAGAGAGGGTTAGAAATCGTTATCCTTGACGCGCGATGTGTTAACGAGGTTCGGCCCTCTGGCCTACGTCCCCGCTCCCCACTCTCGAGGAGAAATCCACTACACAGCCGGTTTGGAAGCCGGAACTTCGTCTACACAGCGATCCCACACGATCTCTCTCACTACACAGTTTGATCTCAACAGATCACTCCCTCACAGTAGATCTTACTCAAGATCTCAACTACACAGCACAAGATAACAGATGTAGAACTCTCTCTTACAAAGCTCCTATGGCAAAGAGAACAAATTTCTGAAGCTGGGAGGTGAGCTCACACAAAACCACAGAGAAGAAAGCAGGACTGATTTGAAAATTTTCTCAGCAGAAACAGAAAACACTCTCTCTGGTTTTTCAAACATTTGGCTCAGAGAAGAAGAAGAAGCAGCTGTAGGGTTTTTATAGAATAGATTAAAACAATTTTAAAACCAAACCCAATCTTCCTGTTTAGGAAGATAATCCCCTTTACAGAGCCTTAGCTCAGACTGAGCCAAGCACAAAAGAGTGAAAGCACGACAATCGAAAATAAAAATGACCGTTTAAAAGAAATCTCGTGTTGACTGAAGGGGAAAAAAGCGGTCGGCTGAAATAACGTTCGGTCGACCGAAAAATCACGTCGGTCGACCGACCGAAAATTTCGGTCGACCGTGAGCTGCTTCAGAAAAATAGAAAACCAGCAGAAACACTGTCGGTCGACCGGATCGGTCGACCGATAAAAAAATCGAGAATTTGGTCGACCGGCCCGGTCGACCGACGACCTCTCTGGAAACCAGTAAGAAAAGATGATATGTGCGGTCGACCGATCCGGTCGACCGCTTTCTGACATATGCTGGAAAACATGTTTTTGACCAAGTTAAAATATTTGTAGAATATTTATTTGACCTCTGAAAAATCTGAAACTTTGTAAAATGTTTTTGATACTAAAAACAAACTGTTTGAAGAAAGAATTTTGCAGATAGGTTCTCGTATTTGTGAAAAATAAGGTTTTGTGAAAACGGCTTAAAAGTTTAAGAAAGAAAACATGTGTGTAAGTCCCAATAGCTTCATGTAAACACAGTGACTCTTTGCCTACATTCTAGCACTAGAGAGAAACATAAAGGAAAGCTAATATCCTCATATTTAAAGCAATACTTGAGCTTTGATTAGCTTGAATCGGATGAAGCTTTTATATGAGTTTGTCGTTCTTGAATTAACGTTGCTTCATCTCTTGGCCTCCTCCTCCTTTGGATATTATCTTTGTAGCATATATTCCATCCATCCTTCATTTATGGCACTAACGAGCTTGATAAATAGATTTACTACAATTTCACTCAATAAGCCATTAGTACCAATAATGGTGGTTGTAAGAACATCATCAAAACATAAGGGCTAACATGTAGGAAACCCGAACAAGAACCTCAGAGTTTGCGGGGGTCTTATCGACGGAGCGAGGGCTTGGTTCTGGAGCATAGTTGGTTGTACAAAGGCTCAATTTGACCTTCCGTTGGCGGTGCCTCCTTTACAGATAACATTCTTATATTGTAAATGGCTTATAGCTGCCAACGCCACCTCCAAGAAGAAGAGGATTATTTAATTGCTGAAAACACTATTGCTTTTGCGGCTGATTTCCATTTTCTTTTTTTTGATGTTCAAACAAACACAAGAAATGGAAATAGATGATTAAAATGTAATATTTAATTGCTGAAAACACTATTGCTTTTACAGCTGGGTTTTCTTTAAATGTGACGTGACGGGGATTTCATTGCGAACCAAACGAAAAAAAGAAAAGTGGGAAATGTGCTGAAATGTCTTGAATTGGGTTGGAAATGTGTGTTTTTCATTTCCTTTTTTTTCAGAAAACAACCAAACAAGCCCTAAGAGGAAAGAAAATCACGCGTACACTATTCAAGTGAGGGCTCTTTAGTAAGGTGGATCTGATGTTCGGTAGTTAGTGTAGTGTTTGGTGTTTGGGTTTAGAATTCGAGTGAATACAATAGCAAGGAGGAGGATCACACGAAGCATGGATCACTTGGATATGTGAACAAGAGGATATGATGTTTGGCTACATATGATGTTTTGTGTTCGGATTAAATTAATTAAATTCAGATCAACATCTCAAATTAATTAGAATGTAGATGGGCGAATCAATGGTGGATTTTGGCAATCCAGGAGTTTATTCCTAAGTTTTGGAGTGCTCTAAATGCGATGAGAGGGTTTGATCTTTCAGATTTTGCTCAGATTGGTCAAAAATTAATGAGACAGATCTAATAGTAGATAGGGCAAACGAGTATGCGACAGATGAGGCTGGTGTAGAGAATCAGATATGAATCTAATAGTAGAGTTGTCTGCATATAATTATTCAAAGTCATCGCAGGAGCAGGAGTTGGTTGGTGTGTAGATTTGAGGAGGACAATGCCAGATTAGGTGGAGCTTGCAAGAATGCACGACTGAGTGACACACATGGAGATGGAGATGGTGGCATTAGACTTGAAGATGATGAGTGCTCATATTCAGTCCAAGCCAAGTGATGGAGGAGATAGAGGCATTCGGCTCGTCGTATATGGAGTAACAGAAGTGCACCAATATGATTCGAGATGAACGATGCAGGTGGAGCACGAGGACAACAAGTGGGGGGAGGTTATTGTTAGGCTCAAGTTGAGATAAGAAGCATGGTTGATTTGCTTATAATGTTAGAGATCGCGAAGATATATTGGTGCGCACAAGAGAGGTGGAAACGTCACAACAAGTCAAGTGGCATAGTGAGGGTCACGGGCCATCCAGTAAGAGTGCAAGTATTCTGATTAGGAGTGTAGGTAATTCAAATTGAAATGAAAAAGAATAGAAGATGCTAGCGGGAGAGGCAAAATTTCAAGACAGCGATGATATATCTTCAAGGGAGTTTGGGAATCAAATCCAAGGTAGAGATTGTTGGGATTGTGTCTTTGATTATTTGTATAACTTTATTTGATTCTTTGTATAACTTTATAAAAATTAGATAGGGTTATAGATCTATCATGATTAAGAGATTGAGTCTCATCATGATTAGGAGTTCGAATCCTATTTTAATTAGGAAGCTAGGCTAGAGATAGAGTTTTAGTTTTCATATATATAAAATTCTATTGTTGGAGGAAAAACCAAACAGAGGAGAGAGAGCCAATATTCTTATAATCTAGGGTTAGCAGAGGACGTAGCCTGATTCAAGAATATTGTACGAGAGGCGAGAGTTTTGTAGTATTTTTCCATGTAAAATATTACATTATTGGGAGAGAGTTTCGCAGTCTTTGTTCATTCAAAAGGTTGTAAGGATAGGGTTTTAGAGAGAATATGTGAGTTGATTATGTATGTGAGGTTGAGAGATTGAGAGACGAGAGTTGAGTGATTCCTCTTATAGTTCTCCCTAATACATAGTGTATTTCTCGTATTGTTGCCCCGTGGACATAGGTCGAAGTTGGCGACCGAACTACGTAAATCTCGGTGTTCTTTCTTCTTGATTGTTGTTGTTTTATACCTTGTTAATTGTGGGCTGGCTTTCAACTTGCGCAGATCATAGTAAGGAAGAGGGGACTAAAATTCCCCAACAATGACATTAGGAGAAAAAAGTGGAGCTTCCTCTTTTCGGATCTGAGGGAGAACTATGGCAATAGGAGAAATTGGTTGATTTGGTCTCTCAAAAACAAAAGGCCTCACCTTTTCTCTTTCATCTTGTAGCTGATCTGAATTTGAATCTGATAGTTCTAATTGTGAATTGAGAGTAAGAAAAAAAGGAAAAAGAAACAGAAAAGACCCAACTAGAAGAGTTGAGAAGGTGCCACGTCGTGTTTTCATTCTCATAACTGGTTGAAGCAGATAGCTGCCTCAGAACTCGTTGAAGCAGGCAACTTTGGTAAAAATAGAAGAGCTCTAAGAGAAGTTGCGCTAGGCCTTTTTAATAGATTGATTGAATATATACATACACACACCAATTGTCTATTTATTAGAAAAATAAAAAAAAGTCATAAATAGATTTTTATGGCTGTCCTGGATGGGCTCAATCAACCCCTTTAATGGACCGAGCGATTAGCTTGAACCATTGTAAGACAAGAGGCCGGGCCCTTGGTAGCCCATAAAATGGGCCACGCAAATGTCGGGCCAGTTCGGCCCACTTGCTACTCCCGGGCTCCATCAACAAGACGCAGAGTAAGTATGAAATGGTAAAGATTTACAGCTGGACTTTTATGCATAAACGTCAGGATAAAAACCCCCTTCTCCCAATCCTCACCTCGCCTCATCTCCAATGGGAGCTCTCCGTTTGCCCTCTCTCGCTCTCCTCTTCTCCCCATCCAAAACCCTAACCCTAAAATCCCCTTGCTCTCTCCTCCTCCGCCCCTCCGTTCTCAAGACCCCCGCCTCGATCTCCGGCGACGGCAGGCGGCGG